AAAATTTTGATTACTTTTATGTCACTTACAAATGAAAACCGCAAATTATATGTTTCGAATTATATTCAAATACCAATAAAATACAATAAAGTCAGAATAAAAATCATGAAAATGTAGAGGTGAATATGGTTCCATTTGGTTCTAGTTTTAAGAGAACAAAATCGAACCATGAACTAATGATTTTTTTTAGGGTGTGGAACCAAATCGGAATTGAACCATTCTGTTCTGGTTTGGTTTGGTTCTAGTTTTATTTCTTAAGTTTTCAGACTTGTACCATATCCGTAAATTAGTAATATATAATGTTTTCTTCAAGTTTTGGTGGGAATCTTATTTCCAGGTTTTTATTTTTTTATTTTTTTTGGTGTAATTGAAAAACATTCTAGACAAAATGGTAAAAAAAATTATCACTTTTATTGACAATTTTCATGTAAAACAAAGCCAAACGATTAGTATTCGGTATGTTAATTTTTTTAATTTTAATTTATTTTTTTTACAATTGAAACAAATTTTAGACCCAATGCTAGAAAAAATTATCACTTTTATGGACAATTTTCATGAAAAATAAAGTCAAACGGATACCAAACTTTCAACATTTTCCAGTGAAAATTGTTCCAATCAAACACAATTAATTATAATTCCCAGTAAAACAATTTCTAGGCAATTTAATTCCTTAAAATTTATTTTATTTCCACCTATTTTACACATTTCTAATCAAGCGGACCCTAAGTAAAAAAAGTATATATCAAATATTAAGCAAATTCAAATTATCAATTATCAAAATCTCAAAAGTTCAAACTAACAAACAAAACATAGTCATAATTTGAATATACAAATAAATTTTTTTTAACATACAAAGGATTGCCTAATAAGGAATAACAACGATTCACTAAATTAGTTACAACAATTTTGACGTCATACCCCCACAATAAATGATGACCATGCAAAGCTTTTATAGTCCATTTTTATAGGCAACCATTAACCGTTTAATGTACACTCCGTGAATATTTATTGAATTTTCCTCTATTTATGAAGAACATAAATAATTCATCAAACAATTAAAGTAAAAAAATAGTTTAAAGGCTTTTTAAATGATTGGCCAATTCTATTTTCTGATTTTGAAAGAGTCTCATTCACTGACATGATGAAATACGGTGCAAGCATACTGTGATTTTGTGTAAATTGAAAAGTAGTTAAAGAAAAATTATTCAAATGAATACAAAATTATGGTGTACACAAATCATGGGTTGTCTCTAATGAACTAGAACCGATTAATGGGCCGTCTCCAATGAATACACAATCAGGATTTCCACTAATTAATATATATAGAAAAACAAAATCAAAAATCAAGTTTGGTTCTGGTTCACTATTCTAGAACTAAATCAAACCAAATCAAAACCAAAACCAAATGGTTCTTAGTTTGAAGAACCAAAATCATTAATTTTTTTTTTTTTGTAAAGCCGAATTGAACCGCTCGATTTTAGTTTGGTTTGGTCTGGTCTGGTTTGGATATTTTGTCCAGACAAAGTGTTTCGTTCACCTCTCTCTCTTTTTTGCCTAAATCTGTATTAATAAAATCTAAAACATATTAAGAGTTTGTTTGGCACAACTTATTTGAAAATCATTTTCAACCATATTCTTGCAATCAAATAATTTTGATCGCCGTAACTTTTTTATACTTTTTAACTATATTCTCAACAAAACTTTATTTTTCACTCCAAATAATATTTTCCAAACAAACTCTGAAACTTAGAGGTCCATTACAAGCTCAACATTGTCATTGGAAGTAGTCCAAACTCATGTGCTAATCAAATTTTGAATATTTTATTGACATGGAATTTCTCCCTTAACATGTCACTTACAAGATGGTGGTTCATCATAATATACTAATCTTAAAATCCGTATATCGTTTGAATTTTAATCGGATTGAATTGCTCATTTGATATCATATTATGACTCAAGTTTTTCATTTTAAAATGTCAACATTATTAAAAAGAACTGTCAAAAATCTTATCTATATTTCAGTATTTAATTGATGTGAACTTTCTCCCTTAACATGTCATCAGATGAGCATATTAATCTTGAAATTCGTGTGGTTGTTTGGTTCTTAATTGGATCGAATTACTCATTTGTGCTTAATGACTTCTACTGCCATATTAAGTTTGAAATTTTATCTTAAAAGGTCAACATTGTCCAAATAATTATATAATAATCTCTATTTCGATATTCAATCAATGTGAGCCTTGTCAATACAAGTCCCTAAAACAAAATATAAAACCACAGAACCCTTGATGCTCCCTATCTAGATCTTCAAAATCCTCAAAAACTATAAAAATGAGTTAAATAGATTTGGAGAAATAAACAGCTAACTGAGAGATTTAACTGGCACCATCTTCATCGCCGCTGTGCTTACGGTCTCTCATGGCGGAGCTTTTGTTTTACAATGCTTGTGGCTTGAACTAGGTTTGATGTATCAACTTTGAATTATAATGGATGGATGACATATCAAATTAGGCTTTGTTTGATTGGTGTTATTTTCCCTAGAACTTGGAAAAGGAATTCCATTTTCTTGGTTTTGACTTGTTTGATTGTCACAATTTTCTAGGGAAAACTTTTTCCCCCCACCTTGGTGGGAAAAGCTTTTCTACGTGCTGTTGTCGTGTCTTGTCTTTTTTTTTTTTTGGTAATGAAAACAAATTTCATAACTAGTTGTAAAAAGAAATTTCACTTTAATGAACAATTTTCATATAAAATAAAGTCAAACGAACACTAAATTTTGATTAAAAAAATGATTTTTTTAAGAATTTTTTTTTTTTTTGTACTTTTTGGCAATTGAAACAAATTTTATAACCAATTGTGGAAAAAATTATCACTTTAATGGACAATTTTCATGTAAACACAAAGTCAAAAGAATACAAAATTTTAAAAATTTTCGGGTGGAAAATTATACCAATCAAATACATTAAATTAACAATTCCCTACAAAACAATTTTTTAGGCAATTACTTTCCTTATAATTCATTTTCTTTCCACCCATTTTTTACTCTTGCAATCAAACGAACCATTAGGGTAGTTGTGGGTAATTGACAATTCATCATCAACTGTTCACATAAAATTTTAATATTTGACTTACTTTGAATGTTAAGATTGTAATTTATGAGTTTGGTCATGTCCAATTTTGACCAATTTTCTAGCAAAAAACTTAACTTTTTTTCTTTGTTTGTTTTAATTTTTAAATGGTTTCATTTGGTGTCAAACCCCAGTTAAAATATGGAAACTTACACCAACCTGCTTTAGAAATTTAGTTCAAAATCATTTCGTTGACGAATTCACGTTCTTCAAATTGATAATTTCAAAACAACGATTTCGGTTCCAAATTCAATTTTCTACACTTCGTGGTCGGAATCTCCAATGACACCTCCGTCTTGCAAGGGCCTATCGACGATCATGTTGAACAGTTGAAGTTAAGCACGAATACCTGGCCTCAAGCAATTACAGTATGATACACAGAATTATTCTAGTAAACCAAAGAGAATTTTCATAATCTCTTCCCTGGAAATGAGAATATCTAAAAGATCCAAGCAAAATCTGCATTTTTTTACTCCCTATATAACAGAAAATTATACACTTTCTTAAATCTTTCTGCATACACCATTTTCCTATTCGTCTTTTCTTCCTTTTATACATGAGGAGTTTGTTTGCAACCATAATCCTTATGGATCGTGTACACGGGATGGCGCAGAAAAATGACCTTTCACTTGTAGAAACTACCTGCAGAAACACTGCAGCTTATGAACTATGCATATCAACTCTGCTTGTAAATCCCAGAAGCATCACTGCAAATGGAATAGATCTTGCCCTCAGAATGGTGGAAGCTGCGAAAGCCTAGGCCAAAGAACACTTTATGCTATACGCAAACTTGAGGGTTCTCGACCCGAGTAGAGAGATGCATTGAATGTGAACCATTCAGTACCATGTAATTACCATTCAGTAGAGAGATGCATTGAATGTGTACCATTCAGTACCAATAGCAGTGGAATATTTAAACGAAGGGCTTCCGTTGTATGCTAAAGATGCCATGGCAGATTTGTCAGAGCAAATCAATTTATGCGACGGGAATTTCGAACATATAATACCACTATTAACTGGATTGAACGACGTAGTGTATAATCTTTGTGATGGTGCTGCAGCCGTTATCAGAACTTTTGCACAGTGGTTTAGACAGTATAAAATGAAACTAAAACTTCAGTCTTTCGAAACATAATCTATGGAATTCACCAACCCATCAAAGCAAATATTAAACAATTTGAAACTGAGGGCAAGTCAAAACTGTCGATATACATAATGTCAAACAATTTAAAAACAAAACTAAGAGAATTTAACAAAGCAATTAATATTAAATGGATCTGCCCACAAGAATCCTCGAGTATAATGCAGAGATCCCTGAATTTAGGCGAGAAAATGCTGCATGTTAGCCAGACATGTACTATTTCAAATATATAAGAAAACTAGCATGGATTTAGCACATGTAAATTTAATGAACATTGCGTAATAAGTGATAAAGCCAGGGACAAAATAATAATTTTATATATACGAAGAAAAAACTCTGGTTATATCGTCAATAAACAAGTGAAATGAGTGAAAAAACTTGATTTAGCATGAAAAAGGTCTCAAACATTCTGTATGATATAACTTACCATTCGCTCAATGCTAGCTAAGCACCCTAAAATAAGGCTATCTCGAGGAAGGAAACACTAGATCGAAACTCGACCAGGATACCATTCGAAAGGCCTTAGTAGCTGCCGTAACAACTTTTTTATGACAATTTATTTCTCCCTTTTAGTATCAAACTCTGTACGAGGGGCTCGTGCCTATCCAGCTTTGATTCCAGAAGGCAGATTATTAGTCTATAACGATCAGCAACTGAATATCGTCCATGATCTTACAGTCTCTACGTGTTGTATCACTTGTGTACTCGAGCTTCTTTCTAACTATAATTCCACTTCACTCGACGTCTCTATTCCCCTTACCCTTGATATCTGAACCAGGTGCCAGTTCCGCCAGACTACAAAATAAAATGCAAAGGAAGTTTCGTTAAACTAAGAATTACAGTGGATAAAGTTTCCTACACCTCCCCCGAGGTTGTAGGATGTCAATTTCTTAAAAGATTAACATGTTTGGCTTAATCTAAAATGGGAAGATTTTGTACTAAAACCCAAGAAAAAATGAGTTTTTAAAAACTTCAAACGTGTTTGGTGACTTAAATCTAACTTATAAGCTTAGCCAAGATGCTCTAATTCATTTAGGAGAAACAAAGATACATACTTGGGAGATCCAGAACCAATTGATGACGTGTTGTGAGTGAATATATCCTGGTGGTCGTGAACCACAACGAAACCACTCTCTGGTCCCACATTTGTCTCAGTTGAACCATGGAAGCCAGTGGCTGAGTTATTTCTGGGGGACATTCCTGAGTGAGCACATTTTGCAACACCATTGTCAGAAAACCACGAGCAATAAAATTGATAAACCCAACCTAATGAGCCCCTTTAATTCATCCATTAAAGTTATACAGAAGGACAATACAAATTTTGGGACAGAGAATGAGGCCAACTATATATTCTTAATATAAATGTTTAAAAGGTAAATTGAATGGTAATAGCTCGGTAATGGTAGTACGAAATTATGGATGGCTCAAAGAATGTTCAGATTGTTGCATTATTGTGCAACCATTCAATTACAACAACAGAGTTTTTGCCTAAAGGAATAAATTGCAGAAAAATCGAGACAGAAATTTCAAGATTTTCTGATACTTAAAGAAGGATAAAATAACAGATTACCGAAGGTTTATTATTGAGAGCACAAACAACTATTATCACATGATCGCGTCCTAATACATGACACAAGAAACATTGAAGAATAACATAGATGTAAACATAAAAGAAATAAATGAATATAACAGAAATGTCAATCCAAATGTTGAAAACTGAAAACTGAAACCTAAGAGAATATTTGGGAAAGGAATAGCATGAATGCGCTTGCTGGTCTCAAGGGACAGAAGAAGTTGGGATAACTTACTTTTTAAGTTACTTATTTTGTCAAATATAAGTTTCAAAATTACATTCTTTTTTTCTAACAAAACTTAATAAGTTTTAGGCACAGCAAACAAGTTATAAATTATGCATCAAATATTGGCAATCGATGAATACAGGGCACATCAAATTCATTATCAGATAAAAAATATTACCTTGAAAAATGATCACAATAAAGAAGAGAAGAGTGAATAGCATGGCAATCAAGTTTCCACTTGATGATGACATGGAGGATGACTTTGCCGCTTTCATTTTCTTCAAAGCCTTCATTCGCTCGATCCTTGCACGTTTGATCATCGCGAGCTCAGTGATCTCTTTGATCAGTTTCTGATCAGCAGCGTCCAATGACAATCCTCTTGGAGGACGAGGAGGTTTAGGCGGCTTTTTTGCACTATTTGACTTGCGTTTTTCCTTCCTCACGTTCTTCTCCTGAACCGGAGAAACATCGCTTGTATTATTCACACTGCTGCTCAAGCTTACCCCATTTTCACCCCTGACTGGTCCATCTAAACTAACTGCTGCACTGCAGACCTTGGCCGAAGAAATCTTCCCGAGTTTTGCATCCAAAAGGTCGGGGCTTTCTGCTCCTCGGCTTATATTTACATCGCACTCAACATCTATCACAACTTCTCTCGGAAGAATCTGATCCATTGGTACCTCTCTCTCTTGTCGATGCATAAAATTTCTAACTGCCGACAGTATAACTTCAAAAATTATCCTCAAAATATATGTCAAATGCAGGAAATTTAATACCTTGCTAAATAATTAATTAAATTTCTGCCCACATTCCCATATAAGAAAACCCATAAACTAGAACAGTAGAACTGCTCAAATGCAAATTCAGTAAGTCATAAAGCAATTTCTTTCCAAGCCCAGATAAAGTTGACAAGAATTTGAATCACAAAACAAAAATATAAAAATGAAATTTTCATAAAGACGATGAATAAAATTCTAGTATTCTACACAGAAATGCTTGTCGGCAAAGTAAAGAACAATGCACATTACAAAATCGATAATTGATTTGGGAAAATGAAAAAAATACAGTATTCAAACATTTACATACACGAAATCATCAAAGTAAAATAAGGTAGCCATAGAATCTCCAAAATAAAGCAAAATATCATTAACAACTAACAAAAGCAAGCAATAAAAATAATAAAATGAAAATACCTTTTTAAATTCTTGATCCAATGAAAGCCAAGATCATTAAAGTACCTAAAGTAGAAGCTTCCAGTGTCTATTCAAGATTCAGGAATTTTTTTATAGAGAGAGAAATTTGAATATGGAGTATGTATGTGTGAGAGGGGGGAGAGAGAGAGAGACAAAAAAGGATTAGCGCACGAGGAATTGGGCCAGAAGCGCACAACCGGGAAAGCGGTGACTTCAATTCTTTATTAGCAGCAGATGTTAATGCAATGTTTTTTGAATTTGATTGAAAGTAACTAAGAGCCCCATACGGAAACTCAAACTGAGATTTTGCCACCTTAACAATCCCACCCTATGCTGACCCATGTAAAAATTGATCCGAACTAGACTCGAATCACATTCTTTATTTTAAAAAGGGAAAATTTTGTCCGTGGTCCCAAACCTTTCATTTTGTTACAGATTACATCCAAACTTTTTATTTTTACAGTCAAAGTCTCAAACATTTATATGTAGTTGCAGCGTCGGTCCCAAGCCTTTAATTCCGTCCATAAAACCGTCAGTCAACATTTCAACAGTAATTTTGACTCGAAAAAATTGCAGCGCTGGTCCCAAACCTTTAATTTTTGCGGTCGAAGTCCCGAACATTTATATATAATTACAGCGTTGGTCCATTTCACGCATTTTGTACATAAAATCATCAGTCAAGTAATTTTAACTCAAATGACATCTTAATTGACGGGTAAAATTGTCAAAACAAGTTATCCAAAAAAAA